CTTTTTATTACGAAAATTTGTCTTGTGGTGTAAAGAAGCTATAAAAGGTTAACTAAAAATAAGTAGTGTTATTATATGCAGTTCCATTTATTCTGGTATTCGACGCTGATTTTTTCTAGCTACTACTTATACTTTCAAATCCAAAAGTATTAGCAATATTTTCCATTGAATCATTTCTTATTTTAACTGTCCCTTAAGATTTACTGGCACTTTACTTATCTTAAATTCTTAAAGTGCATCAACAGGCAAACTGCAGCCAGCTCTCCAAAAAGAAGGAAAACTTGACACAAACCCTATACCAACCCGTCTGGTCAGCTTCGTATAGTAGGCCAGAACCTCCTTTCTAAGGAAAGGCCTATGTCCAGCAGTGGACTATTAAAGGCTGTTGATGTGATGATGATTAGTATGTAAGTTAACCAAATAGCAGTAAACAAAATGTGGCTATTTAGTAAATCTTTGTCTACACTAACATATAAATAATTACTAATACTCATAGAGATATAAGCATAGAGAGAACACGGGGTACAGCTGTCTGTAAGTGGTGTATTAGCCACGTAGCAAGAGTAGCAAATGCAACGGGCCCCGCGCACAAACGCTTTCACAATTCTTATCACGAAAGAGTTACCTACATCTAAATGTAGCTTGTACCCAAAAATATAAAAGACGCGAAGTCGCTGGTATTATTTAAAAAGCTATTAAAGGAACACATTTTCAAAGGCACCACCTGAAATTCATTCTAAAACCTTTGACTACTGATAAAATTCATGCACTACTATTTTTGTTGTTATATTATTATATGTATTATTTTTTATTTTATTTTTGGTAATTAATTTTTTACACTGTTGTAAAACAAAACTTGTTAAAAGAAAAAGAAAAAAAATTTTTTTGCATCACAAGGTAATTACTGCATGTAAACCCACCATTATATTTGCTCCACTACAAACCAGTATTAGATCGGACAACTTAATTTTAAGAAGTACCTACATCGCATAGAAATCAGTTTGGAATTATCTACCTGTCAACGTTTACTTTTATCTTTTATAATTTGTATTTTATTTCTCCTTGTAAGTGATTTGTGTAATTTTGAGAAATAAAGTGATATTTAAACCGTAAATGTCCATCTATAATTTAAGCTTTTAGTACATTTCTAAAAGTGAGCGTTGTTTGCACCAAAAATGCAAAAATACGACACCCAAACCGGGCAAATTGCCATCGTGTGTTGAGCCGAGTCTTAACTGCATTTGCAGTGATGACAGGCGGGTCTCAATTCCCTTCTAGCCATCGAGTGTAGAATCAGCCGTCCCATGATGTCGCCCTGCCCTCTCGACAATGACCGGCTGGAGCACCACTGCGGCAGCAAAGCCGTCGTCCACAACGGTGCACGTTACAGTGCCATTGACCGAACAACATTGTACAGGCGTCTACTGTCTGGGCAGGCTGGGTCCTACCAAATTGGGCAAAAGTCGCCCAACCGGTACGATGACCGAGTTGACGACGATTGAGGCGCCAGAGGGTAGACCACAACGGGGCCCATGAAACAAGAGGCCTCCGTCTTATCCAGGGTCACCTATAAACTCAGCGCCTTAATGCGACCGACCACCAAAGAGACATCCCTAGTGGCCAGGCGCGCCGCTTCTTGACAGTTACCCCACGGGCTGTAACCAAATAACAGATTACGCCCAGCCCGGGAGAGAAGTCAACTAGAAGTGCCCAGTCGTACCCTATGTTCCAACACTCCTGTCGTGTGGGCCCAAGACCAGAGCAGTGTCTAGTCAACCAGCCAACCCGCCTGGCCAGCTTGGCAAAACCTCTTTTCTAAGGAGAGGCTTACGTCCAGCAGTAAACTGTTATAGGCTGTTCATAATGATAAAGAATACCATAAACTACTTAGACAACCTAAAACAATCCAAGGACCCCTTGATAGAATTAGCAACAGGCCCCGCGCTGGATGGATGCCCGCTAGTTTCCTCTGTTTCTGTTTAGCTTAGCTGCGATTGGGGCTTTGGTTCACTCTATGCTTATATCTCAATGCTAATCCTTCTACCAAATCCGCAGACAATAAACATTGATATTTTGGTGCATCGTATTCACAGTCATTTGGCAAAATTTTCAATATCACAGTCTCAAGAACCAATGTTCTCGTACGGTCAGGATTACAATATAGAACGAGCAGAAAGATGTATGTGATCAGGATCAGACTACGAACCTATTTCTATGAAAGCATGTCATCTAAACCATTGGTATCAAATAAAAAATATGCGTTATAATTCAAAATCGGTTCGCCATCTCGGTTGAGTTGCTTAGCAGATTGTTGTTGATATTGATTGATTGTTTCTTTAGTATAATCCGTTTAACGCCTTTTCTTTGCCTTAGTGATTAACATGTCAAACATAAGCAATCAAACCGCAGATGTAAACGTACATAATGTTACGTTATAGGTATATACTTACAGTAACAAATACGTCTATATAAAACGTCATTTTAAGCATCAACTGTCGCATTAAAATTCTGAGGTCTGTTTTTTAATCCTAGACAGAAAACTGACATTACGTGGGGTTGCAATTTTTTGGTAATTCTTAAATAGTGATGTGCCACTAACGGAAATTGACGTTAATCAAATCAAGTTTGGTTTTTTTATATTTAATTATCCTTAACAAAAAGTGTGTAGGTGTGTAGGTACTTATTTGAAACGAAATAATACAAAATTAATGAGCAATGGATATTTACATAAAATATGAAACAAATATTTTTAAATATTTAATTAACTACAGGTATGTATTCATTACATTACATATAAAGGTTCATAATTCTGCAACTCATAGTATATGTCGGCGCTAATAAAGAGTTACCACTTTCGGAGGTGGTAAAACATGCATTTAAAATGGCTTGTTTATCTTGTACGATTATTTCTTACTGCTTTCTTTCTATCTCTTTTCAATTTATGAAAAAATTAAGATTTTTAACTTAAACATTTGTCTAAGTTATACGTCTAAAAAAGATAAAAAGTCACGAATTAGCAAACCGGTACCGTAGGTACATACATCACTGCGCAAAAGAGCTGGAGTCATTATTTCTAAATTTGACATTTTAGTGTGTCTATTTTGACTCTGGGATTAAAAACAGGGTATAGTACCTGTTAGGTGATTGCGTTGTTGCCCTTGTATGTACAAAATGATAAATTTTCAAAGAATACAAAGCTTAAAAGTTAACGCAAGCGAATGATCGTATCTTATTTGTACTTTATAATGCTACTATGGAATTTAATTGAGAGTGATCAACGCTCGCACCCTTTGCATTGTTGAAGAAAAGAAAAAAATCTTTTGGAATAAAATACGAAGCGGAAAATGTCCGTGTTATCCAGCAACCTTTACCCTGCAATAAAAACAGAAAATGGGTGCCATTAAATTTATCGCCTCTTGCTTCATCGATACTAGATGTTTACTGTGGCTGTGAGGCAGATTGTCTGCACAGGTTGATGTTTTATTTATTATTTCTTAACTGAATCCATACCGCATAAAATTTGTTGGATTATTCCAATCTAGAATAAGGTGGCAATTGTTAGTCTAGTCATTTGACTATGTGGGTCTTTATTGAAATTATTTGGAAAGTATAACAAAAACCGAACTGGCAATTGTACCTACATATAATTGCATATTTCTATAGTGTACAAATTATATAAGAAATTCCCGCCGAAAATAACTAAGTATGGAAAGTAAAAACACAAGCGCCGTAAACTTGTCCGCTTGTTCTGAGAAACCTTATATCGATAATCTTTTCTTTTCATGTCCAAGATAATAGGTATTGTCTGGCAGGCCACACGCCGTTGTAGAGTTCCGTTAAACGGAGAGGAGACAACTACGCTAAAATGTTCGTTTCAAAATCTATTTTTTTATTTATATGTATACCTTTACAACACCACAGCTTTCTAACACTAAGATTCTTTAAGCCTTGGATGGACGGACATGGCAAAACTGTAAGACTACAAAACTATCAAAAGCCGAAAACTACAAATTTTCATTATGTTCTTTGAACCGTTCTGCGAGTATTTTTTCCAGTTGCTTACAAGTAATATTACATAGGTAGAAATTTCTGGAAACTGGTGCAACACAAAAATGATTTTTTTTTTTCAATATGTAGAATACCTAATTTTAAACGAATTCTTTATTGTTAGTGCACAAAGGAGCTACCACATCCCAGAGTCAGTTATAAAGTATAAAAAAGGAATTTCTTCTTCTTGAATTGGAGGAGACTACAAAATATTGTATCTCTAACCTACAGAAGAATGAGGACAAATAGCCCATTTTTATATAAACGTCGTATAGCACACTCGATTTGCAGTCCTCAAAATAATAGCGTAATAGTTAGGTACCTATTATTTTAATATTAAAAGTATTATTATAATTTAACTTCATAAATGTTTTATTAGTTAGAGTACAGAAAACGTTCAAATATAAAAACTATATTACACTTTAAGAGCATATTAAAATGATTTAAATAAGGGCTCATTTATGAAAAAGAGAATTAACAGTCCTTTTTAATCCAATAATCTTTGCTAGTAAGCAGTGAACAAGAAAGGTGTAACAATATATTGAAATTCGAATTATATTAGCTTTTAAATAAAAAAGCAACAAATTTAAACATTAAAATTATATTTTTTATAAAACGTTTATAAGCCAGAACTATGTCGGAGCACAGTACAAAATTACACAAAGGCATCCCAGCTCTCCCTGTAGCTTTTCTCATAATGTATGAGATGATGACAAAGACATGGTAGTCTGTCGTCTCTGCTCGTGAAGGCCGTGTCCTCAAAAATGCGTAATTAGAACCTTTATATCTATTTTTTTAATAGGTAAGCCTGTGTGTATGTCCTGGATCCGTCTGGATCAGTTTAACATTCAAGTGTTTTATCAGCACATTGCACATTTGCTTTAATTGTTAGTTAATTTGAGATATAACAAAATTAACCACAACTAAAATGTTATTAAACTTTATAAAGACTGTCACTTTTTCTTTGTCATGCTTTTACTCTTTTCCAATTGTTTGTTTCCTTTAGTAGAACCTTTGGCTACATCAGCGACTATGCGCATTACTGGCAGTAACAGACTATCAGCCTGAGCTAATAGTTGAGAGCGGCGTTGGTGTAATGCTTCCAATGTTTTGTTGCTACATACTTCTAATGTTTCAGACGCTTTTGTTAAAGCCGCGCTTGTCTTTATAGCTTCCTGGGTAGCATATTTTCCTCCCTCACTGAACATTTTAATTTGTGCCATGAAGCGAACATTAGAAACTCTAGCCTCTTGAAAACCATGCTCTAATAGTAATTTGTAATCTGTGATAACTTTGTCAAGAGATTCTTCGAATAATTCTCTGTGTTTAGGTAAACGAAGGGCGTAGCTTGACATTTTTAATTTCTTCTCTTCAAGATTTGGTGGATCCTGATCTAGAACTTCATTGATACTATTCGTTATACGGTCAAGCATTGAAACGTATGGATAAAATATTGGAGAATCGATGGCCCCAAATTCCGAAACTTCGACAGGTAAACGGTCGATAAGGTTATAAATTGCATGCAAATGTGACTCAAGGCGAGCATCGTGATGTCGTAACTCTGCGAGGCGAGCGTCTCTTGCAGCTTTTACACGCTCCAGACGAACACTGTGGGACACCATTTTAAAGGAATAACGCATATGTAATGATGTACTACGCTCGTCAACCCATAACTGAGCTTGTTGCCTTAACTGTTCTGGTACTGATACAATATTACTCTGAAAAGATTCTAAGAATCCGTTTTTCCAATTGTTTAATGCTAGTTCTTGTAGTTCTGTTTGTAATATGGCTCGAGGAAGCGGTAAATAAAGCTGGCTAGAGTTTCGCGTTGGTGGTGTCGAAACTTTACGAGGACTTGTAACGTTGTTAGGTACACCTGACGATCTAGAATATTTTTCAAGAAACAAATCGAATTCAGAAAGTAACGTATTTGAAAGGTAAGCAGGAAAGTTCATATATTCTTCGAGACGACCTAATTCAGACTCACTATGTTGAACATATATTTCAGCCGTCTTTTCCAACAACAACACAATAGGATCGTATATCTGTTGTAACTTTTCTGCATCGGGCGCACATCGTAGCTGTTCCATTGCAATACTGAGCTGAATTTCGTTAGCAAGCTCTATGGCATCATGGCTAGTTATAAGGTCTTCAACAGCACACATAGTTAACTTCTGAGCATGAGCAGATCGTAAAATATGAGAATCCCAAAGGTGACCTGCGTGATTTAGTATCAAGTAAGTATTTTGCAGACGTTCTCCTAACGAATACAAACTTTTTTGCATCGTTATTACATCGGCCCCTGTTATTTCAAACAGTGTTTTAGAGTTAGCAGTAGTATTTGTGATAACAGACAAACGCCGCAAAGGTACCTCGATTAACTTTTGGAAATCAGAAATTTCACACAGGTGTATGTGGTTCAAATCATTGATAACCTGAAAACCGCAAAGATCATTTTCTAGGTCATCCATTTTAACAGAGAATGCAGTATAAATTTTGTATACCGCTGTACGGTAGGCCTGCACTACTCGCGCAATGCATGCATCTAACTCCTTTACATCTTTCAATAACGAATGACCTAGAACCATCCCAGTAATACAGAAATCAGCGCTTAAAGACCGACGATGTGATATTTTTGAATCTTTGTAAACACGTACAGTAGTAACTGATTCACGTTTTCTGTACATTAATCCAACGCCCAAAGCCAATTGGTTAAGGTTACTTCTCATATCTACAATACTTGCGTCCAATTGGGCCCGTAACTGTGCTTCTAAATCAATAAACGCTCTAGTATTACTTAAAAGCTGTTGATTAATTTCATAGATACGTTCATCGAAATTGTGCAATAATTCTTTGGGAGTCAAGTGACCGACAGAAATGAGATGCTGAAATTTTTCCCGTAATACAATCTTCAAACCATCACCCCTTTCTTTTTCAAGTGCGTTTGCTTCCTTTTTAAAAGATAGAATTTCGTCGATGCGTTTTAACTTTAATTCATTAATAAGCTTCATAGCTTCGTCAAAATCTTTTTTTCCTAATAATTCCTTTTTCTTATCACACTTTTCAATAACACAGTCCATGTCAAGCTGGTTTTGAAATATGTTAGCCAAAAGATTTTCAGAAAGCTTGCGTATTTTCTCATCAATAGCACGATTAACTACCGCAGTACATTTTAAAATATCGTCAGAAACACTTTGATGATCTTGTTCGCGTTGTTTTAGATAGTTTTTAAGAATAGGACCACTGTGCCGTGGAACCCAGTCGTCAGGTAAAGCGGCAACGGCATCATTGTCATCGGAACACCCAGCTTTCGCCACGCGTTGGACGTTTTTGACAACTTTATTACATGCACATGCTTTTCCACTTGAAATACTACTCGATAAACTTATTTCCATGATAAATAGTGATAAAAACTAAGCAACGAGTTGAAGGTTTGTCAATCAGCGCATTTTTTTTATTTTTAATACCATAAACAACAGAAGTAAGGTTTGACATAATGTAAATAATAACTTTTTAATTAACAAAATCTATACTTAATATTATAAAGCTGAAGAGTTTGTTTGTTTGTATGTTTGTTTGTTTGTTTGAACGCGCTAATCTCAGGAACTACTGGTTCGATTTGAAAAATTCTTTCAGTGTTAGACAGCCCATTTATCGAGGAAGGCTATAGGCTATATATCATCACGCTAAGACCAATAGGAGCGGAGCACCAACGAAGAATGTTTCAAAAACGGAGAAAATTTATTACTATTAAGTTGCGCGGGTCAGATAGTCTTAAAATAAGCCACGATTTTATTTTACGTTCATATGCGTGTATGTACTTTCATTTTCATTTCTTTTCTTTCTTTGTGTGGAAATTTGAAACCATAGGAGATACAGAAAAGCTCTTTCAAAAACCATTATTTTTTTATGAAAATAATTTTGGCATATTATTTACTTTTTTGGTCAAGCGTAAGTTGTTGTCCATAAAAGTTAATAAAATATAGGTTCAGCGGCAGTTGGTCAAAAATGATGAAATAAGTTTCGTACAAATTGTACTGACGCTAGTTACACTATGAAAACGGAAAACGTAGATATACGTTTTTTAAAAACATATTCTATTTAAGTCTTTATTAAAGAAGTTTTTTTTTATTTAGAAAGTAGTCGTTCTAGAATTTTAATCACACAGATTTTATTTTTGCAAAGAGTATCAAATAAGTACATATCTATTATATTATTTTCATAAAATTTCAAAGATTACAAGGAATTATAGGTCTTCTAAAAACTAGAGCAGAGGGAGAGCGGGGGGAGGGGGTTAAATATAATAATAAATGGCATCATAGATGATTTCATCTACTATATTTATTGTAAACTGTGATAAAATTTTAATGTGACTACCCGGGAAGCCCTTTAAAACTAAAAACTAATTTTTCAAATCGGTTATGTCGTTTTGGAGTTATCGGTGAACATTCATTATTACAAAACAAACACACAACATACAAAATAGATTCCTACGAATTGAGAACCGATTAGCGTAGCGATAGAAAGCGTAGCGATTTTTTTTTAGTAGGCAAGCGAGCAGACACGATCCTTTATTAAGCGAAGCTCCGTTGAAAGCACTACGTTAACGCTATGCCACGACAAGAGCGACACGTCAATCATTGCAAGTGACTGTTGGTGTGTGTTAATAAATGTCATCACGAAAAACTACTCGTTTCCTTCTGTCAATCTTGCATACCACTCTATCTCATATATCTCTATAACTTTATAAGTAACTATCTTCGTATGTCACTAAATCTACTAACTTAATTTTTACTAATTTCATTCTGATAAAGAATTTGTAATGTAAAAACCATGGAAACCAAACGCGTGCCAATATATTGGCACCTTGACAGAGGAATGAACTGTATAGTATTGTAAGAAAATCTTCTTATAATAATAGTATTATAAGAAGATTTAGATTATGATTTTAAGATTTTGATTTATTTTTTATTCAGATTCCCATTACAGATGAATGAACTGTCTATACAGTTCATTCATCTGTAATGGAAATCGAACATCTAATTAACTTTTCACGTACCTGACGAACTTCACAAATGATTGATATGAGGGGAGCATTGGACATTGCTTTAACACATATGGAGATAACAGTGCCAATAATTTCCCCGAACTTCCCACGTTATTGGGTCCGGGTAATTTTGTAGGCAAAACAAAATAACGGATTAAGGGTTCTGCTCAAACATATTATAAGTGCCTGGAGCTCGCCACGACCTCCACACGTTTAGGTAATTCTAATATCGATGACGTATGTCAAGTACGTACGTGTTTAGCCGGAGGAAAGCTGTTTATTGATGTTTAGCGTAGCTTCAGTTAGTCCAGAATTTTATTTAATAAAAAGACAGGCATCTGACTACTTACAGCATTAATGCTCTAAGGTCTGACAATATTATTATAAAGCGTGTTAAACGTATTAAATAACTAGGTAAGTCATATCTTCCTCCGAGCCTATTTTGACAAAACTAGGTTGGGTCGGCTTCAAGTTTACTACGATATGGCTGAACATCGATTTGTTACGCGGAGCGACTACCATCAGACTACCTCCACAACCCAAGTACTAGGCAATATCGAAGTTCTATAGAAAGACTGTTGTTGGACTTGTTAGGGGTTCCATCTACTCCTCGTGGCGGCCATCGGAGTGGGTGTTCTCTCGCTCGATAGCCTGATTGCGGCTATCGTGCGGAGCGAGAGTGCGTGGAACTCTGCCGTCTCCTTCTGCGAGCTAGTTATGCTCGCTAAGGAGACGGCGGAGCGGAACCGGGAGAGGTTTAGAACTCTCCCGGCCCGCCAGGCCCGGGAACGGGCCAGGTACCGCAGGCGACTCAGGCGATGGAGGTCGCAGAACGACCTCCGTCCTCCATAAGCGCAGGCCTGGGGGTGACAGGTGAGGCCATCTGTCACCCTAGCAGAAGCAGGCCGGGATGGCGGCGAGCGCGTTGCGAAGCGCGCTCGCTTCCAAGGAGCAGAGGGAACATGGGGTTCCCACACGGGGGGGGGGGTCCTCTACTCGTCTGTAGATGGCCCGAGGTATGTCGGGGCACCAGGGACTTCCTTTCTAGGGTATACCTGGTTCCCCGGCTATTAGTACCCGAGACGGCGTGCGGTTTTAGTCGGTTCGAGTCCGACATGCCACCGATTGGTGGTATCCGAGGGGATTTCCGCACATAAAAAAAAAAAAAAAAAAGGGGGTTCCAACTACTCGTAACGATTGCCACAGATGTTCGTATGGCAACCGTGACCGACGGCTTAACATGCTCTCCGAGGTAGGAAGGGGTCTCATTGTGTTAAGAATGGTCACCCATCCATAGACTGACCTGGCTATGATTGCTTAACTTTGCAATGTGTTAACCTACTCGGTTACCACTTACCCACGAGCACCTCTAATAACCAATAATTAAATCATATATTTAAAAAATTAGGACCATAGCCGACCCCAAACTTAGTCCAATTGTATATTTTAGCCTCTGAAAGTCTATTTTGGGTTAATGTGTAGTATCTTAGGGAACGTCAAATAAGATATAACTTCTCAAATTGAAAGAGCACAACGATCAAAATTAAGCACAACGATCAAAATTAAAAATTGCTTGGAATACGAATAAGCCTTTGCGATACTCTACCGATGCCGTAACTTTTTGAACTGTAAATACTCTATTCTACATGTGAGGCAGCTATACATTTCTTCGGTACAACTGCGCTATCGTAAATTTGCTAAGACCTTGGCTCGTAGCTAATGAAGAACCCTAAAATTTGATAGACCGAAATTATGTTCACAATTTTTTCGTAGATCACTCGCTTATGTAGAACCCTTTCTCTACAGCAATTTCTTTAAAATGGACGATGGCATAATTAGAATGACTCCATTTCGTTGCAAAACAGCTATCCAGACATGGCTATTAGCCAAAAGCTATGCACAAATCGAGTGCCTCATGAGCACGGACTTATGGCACACTTTTCGTAAACTAACTGGCCCAGTAACTATTGTAATCTTGCTATTTTAACTGCATAATTTCTTTGCGTATCTAAATTCGTGTACAATATTTTATTTGAAAATAAATTATTACGATACGGATTACGAATACGGGGTGTCACCACCCCTATTCATCCCGTGGGTATTGTAAGAGCCGACTAAGGGAGCTAACTACGCAGAACAACAGCACCGCAAAGAGAAGGAAAACTTGAAACACATCATATACCAGCGTGATATAGTAGGCCAAAATCTCACTTCTTAGGGCTTATGGACAGCGGACTGCTGAAGGCTGTTGATGATGATGATTACTATTGTAACTTGTGTTTACTATATATAAAAGTATATAATGGTAACCCAAAAGTATGCATTAGAAATGCAAATGTTAGTTTATTTTGTCGTTAATACTCAAGCGATCTCATGAAATGTTTCATTTATATCTCCAACTTTACAGAATAAGGTATTTTACACGAATAAGCAGTATCAACAGGGTAAAGAAATAAACAAACGGAGCTGCGGACGAAGGCCAATTTTAATGTGTTAATAATGTTGTGTTTATATGGAAACTTGTTACTCTTTCAAGCAAAAACGACTGAACGGATCTGACAGAATGAAATTATGCACAAAGATAGATTATAGTCTGGAAGAGCACAAAGGCTAATTATTTATCCCGAAAAATGTAGTGTTCCCGTTGGATGAGATTCAACGACAACCGAGGGGCGCAGCCAGTAATAAATATTAGATAGCACGAAAACAGTACACCGCGTCAACAACAGTCTGATGTCTATAACGACGTCACTCATGAATGGTAACAACCCTGGAATATTTAAGTGATGGGGTCATCTTTACCACATCTTTCCAAAAGTTCGGTCCACTGTGTAGCTCAAATTCTACAGGTCATATTAACTTTACCAGCAAATTGTATTTATATAAATTAGTCGAGTGTCTACTTCACCTATTTCTGATAAGCGTGGGTTCAACTTTGGCAATATATACTTTTATTTGATGTTAAAGATCTTTTACAATATTAGGAGTGAAAATTTGAATTTCTAATTGTTTGAAGTTTAATAAAGAAAGAATCATTTCAGCTCAATAACAGGAACCTCATTTTTGCACCACATATTTGTGTATTGGGGTAATACCTCTATCCTATATGGTTACACGATAGGACGTTCGCATCTCGACTTCAGAATATGAAAAAGAATTTCTGGTAATTTCATCTAGCGAACAGGATAAAAACGTTTTACTCGCAAACATTTTTTCTTTCACAAAGACATTTCAAATTTACTAGACAGTGGAATCATGTACATTTCTAATGAAACACAATGTAAATGTAAATTACATTAAGAATTTTTTAGTCTGTGAAAACTTCGAACTGAGTAATGTTATATCTCG